TGTGGGGGGCACTCCGTGAGAGCCCCGGGGCTTTGCTGCCAATAGCAGGTGGATGAGGAAGAGGGCATGGGGATGTGGAAGGAGAAAGTCTTATTGAAAGCTGGTGCAAAAGGGAAAGAGAGGCCAAAGCAGCCCCAACTGTGGCCTGCCAGGGCCCCTGCTGTGGCCTGGTGGCTTCTGGACGTGACAGCCCAGCCGTGGTCCTGCTGGACATCTGTTTCCTGGGAGACTTGTCGGAGGCATGGGAGACCTGGTCCCTGGTCCGTAAGGATGCATAATTCTCAAGCCATGTTTTCATTTGAGAGATGCTGATTGTGAGTGTGGGCTGCTTCCCTGTGTTTCTGTAACGAGGGAATGGATTAGTGTGGAAGGAGAAGTCGGTCTATTTTTCACGTAGCTCTAGAATTTTAGTGCTCAAAGGCACGCTGGAGCCAATCTCCTTGAAAACTCTCATTTAAATGGAAGGGAAGGGGAATGATCACTTACCGGGTTGGAGTGGTCTTCTGGGGTGATGACACATGTTGACCTGGAGAGAGCTGGTGGCTGCACAACATTGTGAACGTGCCAATCACCACTGATCCCTAGGCTTTGAAATGATTATTTGTATGTTATGTAGATTTCACCTCAGTTACAAAAGTAATAATAATAATAAAGTCCTTCAGAGTGGAAGAGGCTGCTCCTCCAGAGCCCTCAGCTCCTCCTGTTGGGCTCCCAGATGTCTGGGTGCGGCATCTCTGTGGCTGCGGCATCCGAGGGCCCTGGACCTCTTCAAGCCGCAGGGTGCAGGGACTCCTTAAGTGCACGTGCCATTTCTCAGCATCTCCACTCCAAGTTCCTTTTAGAAGCAGGTAGGGTGTGGATTTTAACAGTATCAGGATGTCCAATTCATGCCTCATTTTAGAATTTCAGAGAGACAGAACTGTCTTGGTTATTACCAAGTCAAGGAAAACGCGAATAGGTCACTCAGGACCAAGACACCGTCAAAGTCCTTGTTCACTGTGGGCCCAAATAACACGTGACATCCATTCACCGATCCTGTTTTGGTCAAAAACTGGCCTGGCTGCGGGCGTGGAAAGCAACAAAAATCTCAGGACGCCCTAACTTCTTATGCCAAAGGAAAGACGAAGCCTGGAGCATGAGTCACGCAATGCCGGGTCCATGTGGACGGCTGCCACTGGCAGGATGCCTCAGGCCAGGTCCCCGCAGGAAGGTGGAGGCCACAGCCGTCTCCAGGTGCCCCACGGAGCTTTCATTAGCACACTCTCTGCCAGCCTCCCATAATCAAGGACATGCCGATCATAACTTTAGGTGTGCAGGCCAGCTCCTAAAGCCCGAGTCTGCTCCATTCCATGCTGATCATGCCCTTTACAAGCCTGTCTTCCCAGGCAGGCCAAAGACAACACGAGATCAGGCGTTCCTCCGCCTACCCGGAGAAGTCTGCAAAGTGGATTCTTCCTTCACTCCCTTTTTCTCTTCTAACATTTACCTTATGCAAAGTGCAGATTTACTGGGTGCTAACTGAAGTCTCACAAGAATGTCACCATTCACCTTACCTCAGTGTATAAATACCAGACCTCTTGTAAGCCTCTTTGGAAAAACAGCCACACCTGTGTCTGTGGCTCGAGATTTTCCTGGACATGCCCGAAGCTGGCAGAGTAAACCTCGTTTGATTGAGATTTTTGCCTCAATCGCTTCTTTCAGTTACAAGGCCTGACGGTTAAGTGTGTCTGGGAGGATGTTGGGGACCAATTTCAAAAATCAAGAAATTCTCAACTGGCAAAGGGGGCTCCACTGCCTTCCACCCTTCCCCCACTGTCAATCCCAGCAGTCCAGGGCGCCGCCCCCCCGACTGTCTCGGGCAATGGTGTGCGCCCTGCCCTTGCCCTCAGTGGATTTTTTTTTTTTTTTTTTTTTTTGAGACAGAGTCTCACTCTGTTGCCCAGGCTGGAGTGCAGTGGCTCAGTCTTGGCTCACTGCAACCTCCACCTCCCAGGTTCAAGCGATTCTTCTGCCTCAGCCTCCTGAGCCTCCATGGACTTTCTCAGCTGCCTGGGATGTGGCCTGCTGTGCCCCTGTGTCCCGCTTGCTGCCCAGGGTCAATGCTTCAGGGTGGCCTGGGACTGGCTCTCCAGTAATGGACTCTCCTAGGAGGGTCAGGCCCTGGCGTCCTGCCTGAGGTGCCAGAAACACACTGCCTGTGTTCAGCAGCTGGAGTTAAATTCCAGCTCCCCAGGGTGTGGCAGGGAACAGGCTGCCCTTGGCCACCACTATGGGTGGCCCACGCCCCACACCGTCCCCATGTCTGGAGCTCACGGGCCCTCTTGGGAAGGGGCCAGCAACAAGAGTTGGCTTCAGAATGAGCAAGCGGCTCAGGACTTTGTCCTTCAGAGGCCCTTGGGTCTGTTCTCAGGGGCAGGGCCTGTTGGAACGCATGGGACAGGGAAGCCCATGAGGTGGCAGTCACCCCAAACTCAGTGAGGGGCACCATGGAGTCCCAAATGAACCGTTGCTCTCCTGACTCAGGCCCTGGGCTCTCTCAGCCAGGCCTCCTTCGGTTCCTGCTTCCATCCCAATGAGTTGTCATTCTGTGGGTCCACAGGACGGGCCTCACGGGCACATGGCCAGTGTAGTCACACAGTGCATGTGCCCCAAAGGGTTGTGTGGGTTGAGTGCTCCACCGTCACTATGTGGAGATTCTGAGAAGTGCTCTCTTTGCATCTGTGGTTTGCAAGGGAAGTCCAGGGGACAATGGAGCCAGCACTGGGGGACTGGAACCTTGGCTTTTAGGCGATTCTGACTCCACTGCCTCTCTGGGCAGGGCCTAGGTTGTGCTCCCACCCTTGCCCCCCTCCCTACCCTGGAAAGTGACCTGCCTACTGCCTGTGGTGTCTCTGGTGGGCCTGGCACCTGCCCCTGCCTGGGCAGGTGGTGCTACAGCCTCTTCCACTGCCCCCCAGGGACCTGGGGTGTCCTGTGCAGAGGCTGTGGATCAGTACGAGGCCTTGGGAAGGGAGGCGGCCTGGCGTGTTGGAGTCCCGTGGGGGACAGCCCGGGTGCCTTGTGGGCACAGCCTGCAAAGAATGTAGTGCCCTCACGCCTGCTTCTCACCCGGCCCTACTGTGCTCTGCTGAGTGGAGACTGGAGCCAACATTTGCAAAGTCCTGTGACCATTTAACACAGTGGTTTTATGGCTGTTGAATGGAATAATTTAAAAATCAGGGCTCATTTTTTTTCAGTTCATAGTTTATCAAGCAATTTAGATTTCTTGGGTTTTACAAGCTGGCTCTGGTCCCTCCTGGTCTGACTGAGACACACAGTACAGAAGCCACCAGGCACCTGTGCGCCTGGCAGCTCTGGGACTCTGAGGTGCATTCATTGTAGTTATTCCTACCCACAGACGGGCTGGAGAGCTGGAGTCCCACCTTGAGCTCTTTCGCTGGCCTGTCACAGCTTGTGTTTCCATCATCTGGCATTATTTGTCAACATGAATCAAGGGTCCGGTGACATGCATCAGGAGCACGTGTGCCTGACAGGCAGAGCCATGTTTCCATGACGGCAAGCGTGTGTGTCTCAGAACTGGCTGTTTGCAGATGGAAATCTCAGCTATGCTCAAATGAGGGTGTATTTTTATATTGAAATCATACACTTTTTTCCTTAAAAGTCATGATGAAATCTTCCATTCATGAATCAAGGTAAATTTCCGCTCAATTGCTTTAAAAAAGTAGCTCTGTGTATACTCTTCATTTTCAAAAAGGATCAACTCCATTTTAAAAGGCGTTCTCAGGGTTTAGCCTAGAGGGTTCAGAAATGGGAAACTGCTCTTCCTTTGTGAGCTGTGGGAGATGTAGTCCTCAGTTCACTGAGTTAGGGAAAAACAGCTATTGCCACCTCAAGGCTGCTGTGCTCAACACTGGCTGGTGGCTCTGGGGTGAGGAGGGTCCACTCCGGCTCCCCAGCTCTGGGCCTCTGACTAGATGACACCTCAGAGGGGACAGCTCTGGAGAGGCAGGGGCAGTGAATGCAAAGCATTTTGTTGGTGGAGAAAGCCCTCTGTGCATTCTGCAGTGACACTGTGCCATCTGCACCGTCCCTCCCTTGTTCACCCCACGGATGCCAGCACTGCACACCTGGTGCCAGTCTTTAGGGATGGTAGCCGGCGGGGGCTTGAGGCAGCTGGGGCCAACAGCGGGAGAGTGCTGGCCTGGTGCTTGGAGCCAGGTCAGGGAGAGAGGGGAAGGGGGAGGCTCCTGGGAACGTGGGAAGCACTCGGTGGAGGGGTGGGAAGGGCCAGCGCAAGCTGAGTGCGCCACCTGTGTGAGAAACACACTCCATCCACTTGGTGTTTGGGGGAATTTCTTTTTAAGCAGAAATGTTTTACATGTATAAATAACTTCCCATTAAAAAGAGAGCGAGCCAATCTGCAATCTGGTGGGGCAGCTGGCACGCGGATGCCTCCACAGCCAGGCCTGCCGCTCCTGTGGGCTTCTCTGCAGAGCTTGGGCAGGAGGTGCCTCAGAACCTCAGGACGCCCGGGTGCTGTGTCTGAGCTTTGCCCTGCTGCTGGGAAGGGTCCCCACGTGAACGTCGGCAGCACGCCATCGTGGAGAAAACGCGCACCATGCACATCGGGACGGTAAGTGTTCCCAAGAAGGAAGTGTGAAAGCCTGGGCCCCACCGTGCAGTTCCCACCGCGCAGTTCCCACCGTGCAGTTCCCACCGCCACCGTGTGTCACATCTCCTAGTCAACGGCAAATCTCGGGATATTCTTTAAACGGCGTGATTTATAAAGTATCCACATGGCTGTTTACCAGGGCCTCGGCTTGGCCTTCTACACAAACAAGGGCCTGAGAGGGAGGCCCCTTTTCTGCTGGAAATGGTCTGTTCCCAGCTGCAAGATTCTGAATGTATCCAAACCCGAGAAAACCCAAAACACACAACACTATTGGGAAGTTTCCTGTTTTAGTGTAATGGAAATGTTAGCAGAAATAACCAACATGCTCTGAGTGTTCTGAGTTTTTTTTTTTAAACTTTTTATTTCAAAGGGCAGATAAGTATTTTGCTAGACACAACTGAAAAAAAAAAAAAACAGCCAGAGAACAATTGGAGGTGGTCTTAATAAATAACAGAATGCCATTTATGTTTCTGAAACGTCATACAGCACAATACACATTTTAAATAAATAACCCACCTGCTGCTCTGTATTCAAAACAGCCCCAGGTATGTGTGCGTTGTGGAGTGAATCCAGTTCTGGGCTTGGACCAGCCAATCCCAGTGCCGGTGGGGAGGCCGCTTCCCACGCCTCTGCCATGCCCCTGTGCCCCCAGCTGAAGCAGTGCGGTAGCCCCGGAGGGCAGTGGGAATGCCAGGGACTGGGATGACGGTGACTTCAGGGTGCTCTGTGGCTGGCACGCCAGGGTGCCTCCAGCTGGAGGGGTTTCCTGCCTCCTCGCCCCTGGCTTCTCCAAAGTTAGTTTTAAGGCCAGTACGGAACATCAGGAGTGCTGGAAAAGCCTCTGGGGTGACGTGGCGGGCCTGAGTTCCGTCTTGGTTTCCGACTGAGGTTGTCACCCTTCCTGCCGTCGTGTGACACCGGCTCTCCGAGCTTCTCTGCTCATCGGCGCTGTCTGGTGGGCTCCGGCGTCCTGTTTTTCCACCCAGCACAGTCAGGTTCTCTGAGGCCATGGCCTGCATGGCACTCACTGGCTCTGATGTTCTGTGGCTGCAGTGCCTGAGAGGGTTGCGGCTACCTGTGCACCCCACACCCATCTGGCCTTGCTGTCACGTGCGCATTTGGGCGGCTGCATGGGCACACGCCTTCGAGGCCAGGGCCGGTGGGGCCTTCGGTTCTCCGGCGTGGCTCAGGCGGCAGTTCCTGCAGACTTTTCTCACTGCTGTTCAGCTCTACGTCTCGTTGAAAATAGCACCAGGAGTTCTCAGGTTGGCTTCTGTGTCTTTTCCAGGTGCATGTGCAAAAGGCAAGGGGAAGTCACTGTTTCTGTGCGGGGCCCTTTATCTGAACTGTCCTTGAGAGGCATTTGTGAAGGGTAGGCCCAGACCCCCTCCACGGGACCAGGGGGGTCACTGTTCCTTAAATCTGAAAGAAAGGGTGAAAGAACAGCTGCTGTAACTGCTGGCAGTGGCTTAGCAAGAGATGCTAAACTTCACACGGCAATGCAAACCCCATGGGGAGCCAGTTGCCCTCCGGTCCAGTGGGGACTCCCCTCCTACAGGGTGATGGACGCTGGACAAACCCTTGTACCATTCCCACAGCCTCCCGGGGCCAGGAAAGACCAAGGAGGGATGAAGGAGGGGGCGAGCAGGAAGGCAAGGAAAGCTCAGGGGCTGCTCACACAGTGCCAAAGACGCAGTTCCCTCACATTTCTACTCAGGTTTTGAGCGATTACCACCAACACACAAACAGAGGTATTTATTACAGAACAAATGAGGGTGAAGGTGGCGTGCCATGGAAAGGTAAGCCATGAGCTTCCTTTTCTTTCTTTTAGGAAAAGCCAGGTGTGGAAGGGAGATAGGACAGAAGGCACCTTGGAGCTGGGGACAGGGCCCGAGTGGGACTTACGGAACTTGGTTCCCCGTCGCTGACCCCGGGCAGCTCAGCTCCTTGTGAATGAGGCGGATCAGGAACTGCACCAGAACAAAGGTGAGAGCACCTGTCACTGGCGCTGCAGCAGCACAGAGCGGCCCGCGTATGGCCGCCGTAAGGACCCGGCTGCGAGGCCTGGGTAGGGGGCTCTCTCCCTGCAGCACCTTCCCTGGGGACACCTCCCTGCAAGAGCAGGGGGTGAGGATGTCCAGCCCGAGGCCTTGGTGCCTGTGGGCAGGGCTGTCTGATGAGGACCCATGAAGAACCAGGACGTGCCCTGAAAACAAGGCTTTCAGGAAAGACGCAGCCTGAACTACTTCTGGATTCAAGGCATGTTTAGAATAAAATGAGTCCAATCACAAAATGACCACAGTGGGAAAAAGAAAATAAACACAAGAGGCCCACCATGCTGGTGGCCTGGGGGTGGGCTGCGAGCTTCTCAGGTGACTCTAAAGCCAGGTGAGCATCTCCTCCGACGCCAGCCCTGGGGTCTGAAGAGGCTGCCACAGGACAGCTGCCTGCCACTGGGAGTCCCTCGGAGGCCAGGCCTGGCAGGGCCCAGGGCTCTCCACCAATGTCACACCTCAGCCTCGGCATTCTCCTGACCCAGAGCTTTAGCTCCATGCCCTTCACATGTTAGAGGGCTCAACGCCAGCTTGCAAATCCAGACAAACGGTTGTGCTACCCCCGATTTCACTAGTGCATTTGCATTTTCCAGTGTGGTTCCAGTCTGTTCCCAAGTGTGGCATCAGCCCACAGGAGGGCTCTCAGAGGGCAGCAGATGCCCTCAGACCCAGGGTGGATCACTGGGCCAGGGGAGGTGGGGAGGGGGTGCTGGAGGAGGGTCTCGAGGGGCTACTTAAAAACCACACACACAGCTCCACCCACAAGCCTCAGGCCAGAGAGCTGGAAGGCGGAAACTCTTGTATTTTCTTAGGAGCTTCTGGTTCAAGCAGGAGCTTAGGAGTCCCTTGTACGAAGTGAGTTCAAGCTGCAGAGAACAGGGCCCTCCTACAGGTAAGAGGCATCCGCCGCTTGTTGTGTGAATGGTGTTTGCGACAATTAGGTGGTGAAGGTTGTGGGAACGCAGCCAGGTGCTAATAAGAGTGCCGGTGGCGATAGGAAGATTTTTGTTAAATAAATCCATCTGTGTGAATCTGAACCTCTAGCTCCAGCTACTGGCACAGGATTGCTGTGTTTCAGCCGGCACCTTACCCACATTTACATCCTACCAAGTGCGATGTGTGAACAGTATCAGCCTGAAGAGGCCTACGATGATGAGAAGCCGATCATTGAGAGAAAAAGATGAAGAATTCAGTAGCAAGTGTTATTTGTGGTGTGGGATGAACTGTCAGTGTAACAGTTCTGAAGAACAGAGATCCGACTTCAAAACATGCCCAAGTGCTTGGCCCACGCGTGCAAGAATGACCAAGAATGACCAAGAATGCCCTGCCAACTCCAGGAGCCCAGGCGACACGCACTGCAGGCCTGAGGCCTTCGACCGTGTGCCGAGGCGGTCCTGTAGGCCCACAGCCGGCCGTTGGTGTGCGGGACGAGGCAGGAAGCATGGTGCCCTCCAGCCCCCAGGACACCTGCTCAGATCACGGAGGTTCTCAGCCCCAGACTTGGGAGGAGGCACTTGTCTATTTTGGAGAAATAATACCAAAAATCATGTTGATCAGGGAAGAGAAAAAGGTATGTCTAGTTCCTAGGTTTGAAAAGCCCAGTGCGAGCTCACAGGCCGGCTGCACATCCCGGTGCTGCTCCTTCTCCCCTGCGGCAAGCCTCGTCGCCCCAGTGTTTCGGCTTTAGGTCTCTTTCTCCCAGTGCGGCGAATCCAGCTTCCTCTGGTTATTATTTACCTGTCACGTACTTTCCCATTCCTTTGCTTTCGTCTTTTCAGAATTCTTCAGTGTATCAGGTGTGTTTCTTGTAAATAACCAGTGCCTCTATTTTTAAAAGCAACCTGACAATCTCTGCTCCTGATGAGTTTGGTCCATTTACAGTTACCGTGTTGATGGTATGCTGGAATAATTTTCATCCATGTCGCTATGTATATCTATATTTACCCTATTTTTCTATGCTTCGCCTGACCCTAGGTTCTCTTGGATGAAGTCTTCATTTTCCTCTATCGCCTGGAAGGTTACACATTCTATTGCTATTGACTTGATGATATAAGAACTGCAGTGTGCTAGAACTCTGATTGTCCCACTTGTACCTTACATTTTGGTTATCCAGTATTTCAGTTCTTTTTTATATTGCCCAAATTAGTCATTACTGCTGTTGTTTTAAACTCAGTCAGAAAGCTTTTTCTGTAAAGGTCTAGATAGTAAATATTTCAGGCTTTGCAGCCATATGGTCTCTGTTGCACATTCTTTTGTTGATTTTTTAAAGAAATCTTTAAAAATATAAACCATTCCTAGTTGGAGAATAATACAAAAACAGGCCACAGTTGGCTGGCCCCTATTTTATATGGTCAATACTCATTTAGATTTGTCCTGAGGAATACCACTTTTTTTTTGTTTGCATTTCTCCTTGCATCTCAGACTTCCCTCCTGGATCTAACTTCCTTTTTTGTTTCTTGTTGCCCAGGCTAGAGTGCAATGACACGATCTCAGCTCACTGCAACTTCTTCTGCCTCCTGGGTTCAAGCTATTCTCCTGCCTCAGCCTCCTGAGTAGCTGACATTACAGGCACTTGCCACCATGCCCAGCCAATTGTTTGTATTTTTAGTAGAGATGAGGTTTCATCATGTTGGCCAGGCTGATCTTGAACTCCTGACCTCAGGTGATCCACCCACCTTGGCCTTCCAAGTGCTGGGATTACAGGCATGAGCCACCATGCCTGGCCCCTTCCATGTTTAAATACACTGTTTAGCAATTTTTGCTGGGAGCACCTTTGGTTAAAAACATTTTCACTTCACTCTTATTCTTTGTCTAGGTACAGATAAATTTATCTAGCGTCACAATCCTAAGCTGTTTGATTCCTGAATCTAAGAATGTTTGTCTTTCATGTATATGGAAAATTCTCAGCTATTTTCTCTTAAAATATTGCTTCAAATCTAGTCTACTATCTTTCTTTGAAATTCCTTTCAGATAATATTAGGCCACCTCATTTGGCCCTCCATTTTATATTTAATTTCTCTTTAATATTTTCCATTTCTCTTTTTGTGCTGAATTCTGGATAATTTCATCATATCTATATTTCATTTCAGTAATCTTCTCTTCAGCTATATCTAATTTGCTTTTCTAACCCATCCATTGAGCTTTTTCCAGGCTAAAGGTCACAGTTTTCACTTCTATAACCTCTGTTTGGTTTTTCAAGCCTACTCTGTCTTTTTGAGTGTCTTGTTCTTTTCTTCATGAGGTCAGTTTCCTTTCTTATGTCATCAGTCACATCGCATATATTTATTTTTAGTTTATATAAATATTTTATCTGCAGTTTTGGGGAGTCCAATTCCACCATTTTTATGTCTGTTACTGTCATTCAAAATGGATTGCTTCCTTATGTTTCATAATTTTGGACTGTGAGGTCATCTTTAGTAGGTTGGTAGCTACAGAATTCCTGTGCTGTAGGGTTGAGATTTGTCCCTATTTGCTTCTGCATAAGAACCATGGATATCACTGCCTACAGACCAACTTTGTTCATTTTAAATATATTTATATAAGCTCAAAGATTAAGGCTGACTGTGGGCAGGTCTATGGTTAAAAATTCTCGGGGGAGATTTTTTCTCCCTGATCCGGCTAAGATGGGGAGATTCCCATTGTCTTCCTGTGCCAGTGTGCAGATGTCATCTAGTACACTCTTTCACTGTAAGCATGGCCCTTCAGGGTCCTGGCTCTATGAGGAAGTCTCCAGTTCCAACTCCTCATCTTGTGCCAGCCTAACACCTTGTCTCTTACCCGGTATGGGCACAACCACCCCAACCCCTTGATTCCTGAGACTGGTATCATTCCTGGACAGCTCTATCATGAGCTTGTGTATTTATGTTGCCTTTACAATTTGGGCTCTTGGGGAATTCCTTTACTTTCTTATGAGCTTGTGCCTCAAAACAATTTTCAATACATATTACTGGGTATTTCTGAAGAAGATATTTCAGATTCTCTGAACAGTTGTAATGATGGGAATTTTACTGCTACCTAGTGGAACTACATCTGGAGACTTCAATAGAAACCTCTGGCATTAAAAAAGACCCATAAATAATCCAAAGAACAGCCATTTAAACCTAGTAAGCTCATAGGCTGAGAGTTGGTATTTGATTTTGTACGTGGTAGGGAAATTGGGTTTTAGAATTTCCTGGAATTAATGTAAGACTTCCACTTAATTGAGTGAGTTGATATTTCTACAATTCCCAACTCATTTTTATTGGGATCAGCCTAAGGTTTTGCCTGGTGGAGTGAGAGGACAGACACAGCTGTGGGTCTGGGGACTTTGCATGCCAGATGACTTGTGAAGATAAGTATATGTGCCCCTCACAGGTGCACATCTATGTGACCGTGACATCATCACTGGTCTTCCCTTCCCAGAAGAAAACCTCAAACTTTCTCAACACAGGAGGGGGCAGGAAGCAGGGGCCCAGAGGAAGGGGACGGAAGCCGGACGGCGGCTTGCTGTCTGCACTGGCAGCCTCTTTGCTCCTTTATTCTCTCCCATCCCTTCAGGTGGAAGCAGCTGGCTGCTGCCCCAATGTGACAGCATGGCTGCAAGAGGGACACCAGGACACTGATGACCATTGGGAGGCTGGGCCCTGTGTATCATCTGCTCTAATTCCGACAACAGTCTTGTCGCTGGGTGCCATTATCAAGCCCATTTTGAAGCTGTGGAGCAGAGGTTACGTAACCTGCCCGAGTCACACACATGACCGGTGACAGACAGGATCCAAAGTCACGGAACTCCATGTTCCTGGCCTTTGTGCCATCCTGCCCCAGGCTGCAGAGCAGGAGGCTGTCCTGCTTCCGGTTCTGACTTTTCTTAGCCAGAGACAGAAGGGGCTTTAGACCATGCATACTGAGGAAGATGGGAAGACCCAAACCTCTGCTAACTCAGGAATGCATGGGAGAAAGTTCCACCAGTGTTTGGCCACAACGCAGAGATGCACACTGAAGGTGGCTTGGCTGAAAAAGACTTACCAGTAAGGCACAGGCGTCAGCGAACATCAGCATGTAAAACACGTTGCTCCAGCCAGACGGGGAGATGAGCCCAGCCAGCAAGGGGCCCAGGGCTGCTCCTGAAACCGGGCAAATGCACACACATGGTGCTCGTTAGAGAAGTCCCAGCACATGACTAACAGCCACACAGAACGGGCTCAACAGCTCACTCACAACGAAAGGAAAACGTACAAAATGACACTACCTCTACCTGACCAGTCAGGCCGGGAGTGGGTAAAAGGCCTAGCATAGGCTGAGCCTTCTAAATCTGAAAACCTGAAATCCAAAATGCTCCAGAAATCTTAACTTTCTGAGCGCTGACACTCAAAGGAAATGCTCACTGAGACATTTCAGAATTGGGATTTGAGATGCTCAACCAGTATAATGCAAATATTTCACAGTCTGAAAAAACAAACAAACAAACAAACAAAACCACCATAACCACTTCCGGTCCCAAGCACTTCAGATAAGATACTGCACCTGCACCACTCAGCACTGGGAAGGCGAAGCTGGTACAGCCTTTTCCCAGAACCACCTAAAAATGCTTGTGGACACTGCAATGCTCATTCTCCTCAGCCAACACTCCCATTATTTTCTTGAATACACTGTACAGAGATCTGCATTCAATGCACAATCTTAGATATTCTCACGCTATAAAAAATGTAACTGGGTAAAATTTGAATAAGATCTGTAGATACTTAAACTCTTTCCATGCACACTTTCTGAGTCTGATCATTGCACTGTGGTCTGTCAGGGAGCTCCTTGTTTTTAGGAAGTACTTGGTGAATAGTCATGAGTAAAAGGGCAGCATGTGTACATTTTACTATTAGTGGGTCAGAAAAATTACGTGTGTGTGTGTGCACATGTGTGTGTGTGCACGTATGTGTGTGTAAAAATACATGAGGGGTGCATGATGAACCACGTGTACTAAAATGTCTGAATTCTTTGTACGATTTCTGCAACTTTCTCGAAGTCTGAGTTTATGTCAAAATTTTAAATGATGAAAACAAAATAAAGTATCACGCTAAATGCCCAAGGACTGCTGTTTTAAGAATGTGTTTTGTAGCAGCTGGTGTGTTTTACTAAGAGGGACTGAAATGAATTCTGATGCACACGTAGGATGGCTGGTCTTGGTAAAAAGCATGAAGAATTTCCACCAAGCTATGAACTGATCTTTAATCTCTGAGCAGTAAGAAAACCAGGGTCTTTCATGCCCTAGACACACTCATTTTTTTCAAGTGTTCACAAAGTGCTCTTACTATTTCATTATCCCAGGAGCAATTGTATGCAATGTTTTTAAAATTCTCGGAACTTCTAGGTAAACATGGTCAGCTACTCATGTGTTATCTCCACGCCTCCCAAGAAACATGAACTGTACCATCACTGAATTTTAAAAATGATAAATCCTCCAACCTAAGGGCCATGCTCCCCTGGGCACTGAGGGAGTCTCCTCCAGGTCCTGCTGGGTCACACTGCTTGGCGACCAGCAGCTGGCACGCTTTCTCCTACAGAAAGGCTCCAAGCCACTAGGCAGGGCCCCTTCTTCAATGTGAAGCGAGGAAGGGGCAGCCGAGGTCTGCCCTACGTCTGGGGAACCCTCAACGCGAGAGCAAGCACACTGGCAGGAGGAACCCTGGAGGAGAAGAAGGCGTCAGGGAGAGAAGCAGTCCCAGGAGGGCACAGTGGTCCCCGATAGCCACAGAAGGTTAAGTGGAACCTCAGGACACCCCCATTTTTGTAGCTGAAAACCTGTTATCAATTTCACATGATTCAATCTAACACGAAATAAAACAGGATGCACTAAAAGGGCAGAGAAACATCACTGAACATTGAAAGCATAGCAGGAAAAGTAAAATGGGCAGTACAAAGGTGGAAAACACAGTCAGGAATTCCCTGAGAAAGTACAAGAACAGGGAGACGAGCAGAAGGGAAAGAAGGGAAAGTTGAAGGATTCATCCAGAAAAGCCTCCATCTGACTAATATGTTTTCCAGAAGGAAAAAACAAATCAGAAAATGGTAGGAAAACTTACCAAAGAACTAACAGGGGCCCAATTCCCCTAAAGTGAGGAGCACGTGTTTCCAGAATGAAGGGGCTACCAGGTGCCCAGGGGATGGGGGATGAAGAAAGGCTCCAGGGGTAAGAAGGGAACCTGGAGATTTCTAAGAGGAAAAAGAGAGGGCTAGAAAGCGGAGGCTGGGCTCAGAATGTCTGTGAAGGTGTCAGCGACAGCAATGGAGGCTGGAAGACGCGGGTTCTGAAGAGCAGGTGTTTGCCTCAGGCGAGAGCAGAATCCACACACCAGGCACTTACAAGCTCGCAGAAGCCACCTCTCCTAACTCAGGCGAGAGCAGAATCCACACACCAGGCACTTACAAGCTCGCAGAAGCCACCTCTCCTAACTCAGGGGGCTACCAGGAGGTGGTTCCCCACAGGAGTGGTAAACAGGGGTCTTGGCTGCGAGGGCTGTGATGCAGGCAAGGGAGGAGGGGACCCCCAACACAGTGGCGACAGGTGCTCTGGGGCAAAGCCGTGCAGCGGGTGGAGCGAGGCTGATGGCATGAAAGGGGTGGAGTGGGGTGGGATGGTGACCATGGTGGAGGGGAAGGAAATGTACAAAAGAGGAAAAGATGGGAGGTTTACTTACCCGGGAAAAAACAGAATGTATCTATCGAAGGTGCATAATTAAAGTGTCTTTCTTGGCTGGAAAGTGAAGGGCCAGAGCGTGGCCAATGTGACCGGAGGAGGAGGGGTGCGCTGTGTGGGGGCAGAAGGGAGCCAGGTCCCCTCTGCCTTAAGAGGAGCACAGCTGATGATGTTATGATGAACCGAGAAACATGAAAATACGGAGGTAAGCAGAGAGAGGCAGCTCAAGGTGCTGCTTCTACAAAGACAGGGCTGGGCAGGGGGAAGGAACGACGCTGTACAACGTAATAAGCTTGTAGGACTGTCTGGCTTCTAACGTACATTATGTTTTACTTTAATGGATAAAAATCAACCTGAAGAAACGCAGTGCTCTATTTAACTGCTCTGCATGAAATGTACAGAAACGGCAGCCTCTGTGATGCTAAGCACGGCGAAGGCACCGAGCACGCACACTGTCAGCAGACCACGCGCTCTTGGGAAGACGCAGCGGTGATCTACGATCAGGCATGCTTCGCCTCCACCCAAGCCGGTGACACGAAGTAGGCATGCAGGGCAATCCCTCGGGAAGGGACTGGGCTGACACGGCGGCCTTCCCACTTGAGCCTGTGCTTCACTGGGCAGCACTCAGGGAAGAAATAATGACAGAGGCGTGGTGGTGGGGGTGGGCAGGACTGAGTGCCGTTTCCATGGTGACCACTGCCTGAGCAGGCAGTAGGCACGGACGGGCGGTGGAGCCTGGAGCAATTGGGTCCTGGTCCGGCCTCTGGTGTAACATAGCAGTCATCAGGGTGGGCACAGCAGCTCCGCATATGGTCGGAACTTGGTGCAGCTTAACGGAAGGCCAGAGGGGGTCCCGTGTGCAGGCTACCATCCTTGTGAGTGGGCCAAAGGCATTCAGAAAGGTGCGTCCCTTCCACCCACTGGGGGCAGTGGTGGGCAGTGGCCTCTGCTTCCCTCTCATTTTGAAAAGAATATGAAGAAAAATGTGCTTTTTCACCTAGTTCATGATTTCCCTCTCATTTTTCACTTTGATCCTCTGCTTTCAAACAGCAGTCGGGACTGCCAGTAGACTGCCACGTTAGCTTTAAGAGCAGGGTTTCCCAGCGAAGTCAGAGGGAGTCACGGCCCGCGGGCCCTGCAGCACCAGGCCAAGAGAAGGCCGTGCAGTCACAATGTCAATCAGAACTGAGCTCAGCCCCGCAGTCCCCCCACTTCCTACTGAGGTGCCCAAGAGAGAACATCAGAGGGGTGAGCACCACCCCCCAGTACACTCACAGCCCCTCTGGACCCAGTGAAATGAAGGAACCAGCATTAAGGGCAGACATGAGGCTGGTCTGGTCTCACTTTTGTGAACAGCAAAAGCCAAAATGTGGCTTTCTGAGCACTGGCCAGCCTGCCCGCTGCTTCTCAGAACAAGGCGGTGGGTCACATGAAGCAGCAACCTTGATCCTGGAAATGGCAGCAGCAGCCTGGAGCTGAGGTTCCCGCCACCCAGGGCCAGGCAGGGGGGCCTGGGTCTTGCCCGGCTGGGCTCCTCACTGTGCACTCAGCCGCCTGGGCTCCGGCTGTGATTCTAGCCGCCTGGCAGCAGCCCGTTCATTTCACCGGGATACAGCAAAGAACCACACAAACCCTATCCTCCTGGGGCTTCCGTGCCAGTGGCAGGAGACAGGAGACGAAACCAAAGAGTGCACTGAATCCCACTGCGGACACGGGAAGTGCTCCGGAGAAGAGCAGACTCCGGGGAGGGGCCTAGAGGCCGGCGCAGGAGGCTGAGAACCCTGTGTTCTTAGAAGGGTGGTCCCAAGCAGTCTCGCTGAGAGGATATTTGAGCAAAGACTCAAGAGCACGAGGGAGTGAGGCACGAGGTCACCTGTGGGGACCTTCCCAGGCACGGGGTGTGGCCAGAGCCAAGACCCTGCAAAGGGGCCAGCCTGGCCTCCGCAGGAGCAGCAGGGAGCCATGTGGTGGGAGGGCTTTGACTTCTGCATCACTGAGACAGCAGTGGGCACCCAGAAATGTGCTGTGATATGTCCAGCCTGCTGGTGCCGAGGCCAAGGGCAGCCAAGAGCATCAGCTTTCCCCACCGGCCAGCCGGAAGGCTCCAGTGCCAGGCTCTGACTAATGTGCGTTTACTGAGCCACCTTCATCTAGCGCACACTTAGCTTTACTGCTTTGAGAACCCTGGGCAGCAAGTGACACAACAGGTTGGGTGACACATCAGGTTGGCACCCCAGGTCCTCCTGATTAGCTGCGAGAGCCACACCGGGCAGCCCCCATAACCTCCCACATGTAGGAAGGACCCTCAGTGCCCTTCCGGGAGGACCCCGTGCGGCAGCGCCTGATCTTCCCCTGGCAGGCGTGACCATGGTGTGTGTGCCCCACAGAAGGGCTCAGGGAAGGCCAAGGCCGTGTCAGGCTGCACGTGGGCAGGGAGCCCGGTGCTCGGCCGGTTCCCACCTGCCTGCTCCCTGAGGCAGGTGGGATGGGTTGCTTACTCTGCCACCTTTTTCAATTCCAGACTATGCCACTGAATGCTCTTCAAGCCTTTGATGATGCTGGTAACATTCAGAACTCTGCATGCTTTTGGGCCAATTGGTTTTTCTGTAATTTTAATAAGATTCTGCCTTTCTTGAGATGAAGGCGATAAATAATCAGTGGACCTGAGTTAGCCCACGGGCTACGGTTTGCCAACCACCGCCTCCGGTGAAAACCTGGACACACAGCTAGTCACATGCCTGTCTCTCTCAAGCCACCCAGGCACACACAACTGTCTCTGTGCACTGATGTCCCCTGCTCCTCTGCTCATATTGTGAGAAGCCGGCCCGCTTAATGTTATTGATGCCATTGGAACCCTGGGCACCTGTTCAAGAGCATGTGACAATGCGATTTCCCCTAAGACATCAAACCTCCCAGCGCTAAACCTCTCCACGCACCTACAGAGCCAGTTCCGTCGATGATGGCGGTCACGGTGGAGAGGGCGTGCGCGTTACCCTTCAGACTTTTATGAGTCCCCTAGAAGAGAGGAAAAGCAGATGTGGAGCTTGTCCCTGAGGCATTAGAAATCAGCCTCAGCCTTTGTATCACCATTTACTGAAACTGCTCTGCAGAACAACTCAACACGCGGGGTGTTTCCCGTAATTTAAACTCCACCCCAAGCTTGCCTTGGGGAGTTAAAATTTCAAGGGTTTTTAAGAGTTAAAAATCATCAGAAATGCTTGGGTCTAGTTGCAAGAACTCTTAGGATTCTCTTCAAATAAAAAAACATTTGTTCAACACAGTCCTGCTCCTCCCTGAGGCCCCAGAGCAGCCCACGTGAGGGGCATGAAGATGCATGACACGCCCCTGCCCTGAGCTGTGCCGGCCTTCCTTCCCAGCCATGTCCACGTCTGCTGGATTCCTCCACAGCCAGGGCCTTCCTGGGACTCCTGTCAGATGTCTCTGCAGGATCTAAAATCCAACCTGATCGACAGCAAACTCCAGAGGAAGAAGGGAGAAGGGGAGAACCCGAGAGACCAAGGGAACAGCCGCCAGGAGCTCCCGTTTTGAAAAGGCTACATAGATAGCTGTGGAAGAAGCAAACTGAGGACACTAGGAGGGGAGCGAGATCAGGGGAAACAGTGCCTGGAAGCCTAAAACCATAAAAATGAACCAGCGTTTGAAAATATGCATGCCTGTGTATGTGTGTAATATGGATGCAAAATCAAGAAAAGCATGCGCAATATGAAAATCACCCAGAACCTACTGTTTTTGAAGTCTAAAAATTAAGTCAAAGTCTCCCCTCTGCCTCTACCCCATGAAGGCTGACTACTGCTGCTGGTCTGGTGTGATCCTTCCAGAATTCTCCATGCCCAGACACAAAACTGCACGCTCACGCACACCCAGGCAGTTTCAGGACACGCCCCACACAAAGGTGGCCAAGGCAGGGCGTGGCACCTGGATGAGGGGGGCCAAATCCCCCAGCGCCTCTTCCTGGCCCCTCTCTCTCTGCAGGGGCGTCTAAGACAGGACTCCTCTCCTGTCCCCTTGGAGTGAAAAGTGCCTGAGTCAGGAGGACGGTGCCCAAGAGCCTTTGGTTGCACTGAACGGTGAGTCTGGTGCCAACCTGCGTGTGATTCTAGAAGGATGAGCAGGGGGCAGGTGCGGGAAGGCTGGAGACCATGACCTAGGTGATCCACCTTTGTCATGAATGGCAAACGGTGGGTGCCCACAGGGCCAGCGTCTCCCGGCTCTACTCACCAGGTCAGCGGAGACGGCGGTGGTGATGAGCGCGTAGGGCCCGCTGACCAGGGCTCCGCTGAGCAGTAGCATGGCTGTGGGAGGCAGAGGGTGGGAGAATGGAAGCGAGTCCCCCGGGAGAGCCCCACATCAGAGCAACCCAAGGTGGGCCCCTGGGGAGCACAGGGCGGGGCGTAGCAGCAGGTCCCTCCAAACTTGTCTCCTGAGGGTCTAAACCGAACTGCGCCTTCCCTAAGACTCAGGCTCCTCGACCCTCGGGGCAGAAGCTGCCTCCACCAGGCAGTGATCACAGGCCTGACGCTGGGCCTGAGCTGGCTGCTGCTTCATCTGCAGCAAAAAGGCCTCCCTCTCCCTGTCCATGGCTGCTGCAGGCGGACCCCACCCTCTCTCTGGGCCGTCCACGGCTGGGACAGGCGGATCCCACCCTCTCTCTGGGCCGTCCACGGCTGGGACAGGCGGACCCCACCCTCTCTCTGGCCAGGTCGCTTCCTAAACTCTCCTCGGCTCACTTTCCCAAACCAGCATCTGGGCTCGCACTCAGGTGAGGAAGCCTCTGGCCTGAGGGGTCACAGGACATTCCGCCTCCTCTCTTGTGGGCAAGCTGCCTTCTGGACACCATTCAAGGGGACCACACACATCCCCACTGCTGGCTCATGAGGACGGAAAGCACACTTCTAAGTGCTGGAGGCATCACTGGACAGCGCTGCCAACAGGGTGTTAAAAGTAGTCCTCCAAGGTCATACAGGCACTCCTGGAAGGGCAGCTGACGAAGCCAGCTGGGAGGAGGTGGCTGGGGTGCCGTTCGCCCTGGCTCCTGGTGGGACCCTGCTCAGGTCATACCACCAGGTTCCCAGCTACCTGATGGGGCCCAAGGGCCAGCCTGGGTTGCTCTCACCATCATGGGTATGGGTCACAGGCTGCGGCAGCTTCACCAGCCCCGCTGAGGCGCCAGGAGGGGCTGCCTTCAAGGTCACATCTGGTTTCTCCCTGAGCGCTCAGGGCCACTGCCCCAGACGAGGCTCACACTCAAACCCACAGACTGGCAAGCCTCGCACTGGGGAGACGGGACCCTGGCCTCTCCAGGTGGCCTCACTCAAAGAGGGACACCGGAGAATTTTAGCCGCACCATGTCCTCCAGTTAAACCAGCTCAACGCACCTGTTGATTTTTATATTTCATCTTGCCAGTTGTGTGAACAAAAACGTGTGTGAAAGAAAAGAAGGAAGGCCTGCATACTCACCGACGGTGGCCTCGAGCCCCATCTTGCTGATGGTGGAGAAGATGTAGAGCTGTGGACATCGAGACACAGGTCAAAGCCACGCCGGCTGCAGGCAGCACGAGATCCCCGGAAATCCACTTCTCAAAGCCCGGGGGTGAGTCTCGGGCAGCCAACCCAAGAATGGAAACCCCTAAAAAAAGAGTGGAGGCCACACTCCCTCCCGCCTCAGGCACTGAGCCTCGTCCCCGCCACGAGCGCTTTGGACCAAGCACTCCAGGCGACCTGGGGAAATCCTGCAGGGTGCTCCCTCCACAACCCCAGCCGAGGGTCAGGGTGCGGGCGGCCTTCCTGAGCTCCTCGTTTGAGAGCCTGACTGCCGAGTCCTCAGGCTGCCAACCCCGATGGCAGCAAGGGGCCCACTCAGGCGCTTCTTCATTTGGCATTCTTTCAGGGTCTGTGATGGCTGTGTCCGGGACCCCAAGATGGCTGAAAACCAGGCCTTGTTCTGGGGCTAGTGGAGAGGTGGACGTGCAGAGGTACGGGGTACACTGGTAAGCCTGTCGCCTCTAACATTACGATGATAAAAACAGTAACGAGGGGCACTGTTTCTAACCCACTGGAAGGTGGTGCTACTGACACCCCGTTTCCAGATGAGGGAACTGGGGCACAGAGGGGCTGTCAGTGCCCCGGGCCAGGAGCTGTGAAATGCTTGAAAAGTACTATGCACCAGGCGTCAGGACGGGAGGGCTCAACGATGCCTAAGAGGTGGGGAAGGAGCTTGTCTGGGGCAAGGGGCACCCCAATGAGAGGGGCAGCCTGCGCACCACCCATGCGGAACCAGTAGCGGCTGCGCATGTGGGGGAGGGTGCCCGGGGAGGGGCTGGGGGACAGGAGGCATGAGCGGGAATGAAGCTGGGCTTGTCAGGAAAGTGGAGCCCGGGCAGATGGGAGAGGACGCTGGCTGGTGGGAGGACCATGGGGGACTGTCTGCAGGCCTTGGGGCAGAGAAGGCAGCAGGGCTGACCGTGGGGGCAGCGAGCAGCAGCATCAGGCCACAGGTGGTGGCCCTTTTCTCCAGTCGGTCTGAGATCACACCTGCCAGGATGCCACCTGCAACGGAGAGCAGGCTTGAGGCTCGGACGTCACTGGGCGTGAGCCCACTACGAGGAAGTGGAGCTGCAGGAAACTGGAGAACAGTCTCCGCCTCTCCCAGGCCCCTCTCTCCAAGCATCATGGCAGGCAGCCTTCTCACGGCCTGACCTCCCCACAGGCCTCAGTTGGTTGCCGTCAGATGTGAGAGAGGCATCTCGGGTTCAGGTTTGAGGCCAGCCCTGAAGGCCCTTTACCTATCGAGGGACTACGGTGGAGAGTCTGTCACCTGCCTGGGAGGCATGCTGCTGCTTTTTTTGTTTTAGTTTTGGAATGGGGTCTCACTCCGTCACCCAGGCTGGAGTGCAGTGCCACAGTCGTGGCTCACTGTAGCCTCAACCTCCCAGGCTCAAGCTGTCCTCCCATGCCAGCCTCCCGCACAGCTGGAACCACAGGCTCGAGCCACCATGCCCAGCTATGGTTTTGTCATTGTTTTTTTTTTTTTTGTAGAGAGGGGTCTTGTTACATTGCCCAGGCTGGTTTTCATTACAAGAAGAGCTGAAGTGATGCTCCCGCCTCGGTCTCCCACAGGGCTGGGATTACAGGCATAAGCCGAGTCCAGCTGGCTGCTGTTTCTGAGGGAAGCTGTTCAAGAGCAGAGTCAGGGCCCCGAGGAGGGAGGGGAGACCAAAGACCCCCCACCCACAGGTGACAGCCTGGCCCTCTGGGGCTGGGTCCACTCAGGGGATACAAGACCTTGGGGAACCCCGTTCCCTCTGAGCAGTGAATCAACTCAGAGATCATGCGCCTCGTGAAGTTCTGGTAGCGCAGAGCAAGTCTTAACGAACTCACCAAAGATCCCACCCACGTCGAACAGGGTGGAGAGCTCCCCCGCCTTTTTGGCATCAAGGTGATCTATGAAAATGACAACGGAATGTAAAACAATGAAGACCTCCTCCACGAATCACAGTGACACACCACGCAGAACAGGACCCACGCCGGGGACTCTGGTTCCACACGCTTGATTTATACCAAGGAGCAATTAGTAGTTAACTCGGATTTAGAAAACTAGTAACACAGAAGGGTTGAAAACGCTTTTAACCAAACACCGAGGGCTTCCCCTGCTCAGTTGAATTATCCCACCTTTGGTTCAGAGGCCCCCCCAGGGGCCCCTCTACCATGAAGTTAGATCAATGCATGACCTAAGTGGGGGTGTGGAAAGCGCCTGGATGCTCCAACGTCCTGTCACACGTGGCTTTAGAGCTGCAGGGGGCCAGAGCCCTCTTGTCCTGAGGATGAGGACACAGAGGGCCTCCCAGCAGCAGCTCAGGGCACCCTCCACTAGATTTTGTAGAAGTTCTGGGCTATAAGGTGGACTGAGCTGGCTGTGGTGTGAGAAAAGAGACCGGGCAGCATTTTGGTCTGCTGGCCAAACCCAGCCTTTCCGAATCCTCAATGACAAGGACAGGAAACTTTGCTTTTTTCAAACAGACTGAAAATCCAGCAATTCAAGACTCAAGTCTTGAAAACGTTACCCCTTATGCAATCACAGGGGAAGAAAGGAAGAAGGCTGAGTGCAGCTCACCGGCCAAGGTAAGGCAGAGTCACGAGGCAGGGAAGGAGCCTCAGGATCCGAGGGCACGCCTGGCTGCCTCCCCACTCACTGGCCCTTGGGCAGTCCCTGCCCCTGCTAGGCTCGGGGGACGGTCCCCTCACCGCCTCCTCAACTTCCCTCTGGGTATTCAGCCTCCAGCCTCATGATCCCAGCATTCTCCTCTGGTGAGATCTGCATTCCCAGAATAGGTGGTCTGTGCCCCTCAGCCTCCCCCGCTCTCAAAGGCCCCCTCTTTGGGACGTTGCCAGAGCCTGCCTCTCCCTGATGGCCTGGTGTCTTCTCCTTCCTCTCGTTCTCCCTGGCTCCCTGGGCTAACAGCCCTCCACGTGTTCCTTGACCATCCCCACTTCCTCTCAGCCAGGGTTCCGGTTCCCCCACTCAATGGCCCCTTCCCTTAAGCATTGTTTGTCCCCTCTTGACTGTCCCATGGTCACACTGACATGGGGGGCACGTTGCTATTTCACCAGCATGTTTGCTCATAATCTACAGCTGCAGCCACCGTGGGATAAAGCAACACCACATAAAGCAAAGTGTCAGCCCTCCCTAAGATTAGACCCTCCCTAAGATTAGACCCTCCCTAAGGTTAGACCCTCCCTGAGGTTAGACCCTCCCTGAGGTTAGACCCTCCCTGAGGTTAGACCCTCCCTGAGGTTAGAACCTCCCTGAGGTTAGATCCTCCCTGAGGTTAGACCCTCCCTGAGGTTAGACCCTCCCTGAGGTTAGACCCTCCCTGAGGTTAGATCCTCCCTGAGGTTAGACCCTCCCTGAGGTTAGACCCTCCCTAAGATTGGAACCTCCCTAAGATTAGACCCTCCCTATGATTACAACCTCCCTAAGATTAGACCCTCCCTAAGGTTAGAACCTCCCTAAGGTTAGGCCCTCCCTAAGGTTAGACCCTCTCTAAGATTAGACTCTCCCTAGAACCTCCCTATTTCCCAGAAGCCTTTTCCAGGTGAGATTATCAGGGATTTCTTATCTCAGGTCCCCAGAGGCCTTGCTTCTGCTCACTGGCTGCTATGCACCAAAGTTCCATGTAGCCCACATTTAAATGCAGGCTACCTCAGAACAGGAAGTACCCCACGGAACTGGTGGCGACAGCTGGGACATAACGTGTCAACCTTTAAATCTCATAAAGGCTACCATTATGGCAGTACAACGTGCACGTCTGAATTCTCTTTGCCTATGTTCCATCATATTGTTTGATTCAGAAGTGTGGAAAGTGCACCTCTCAAAGCACCATTCATGGCCTTGCGTTTCCAAGACGCTAGAAACCAGCAAACAGAAGACAGTTCGGCCCCAGTTGCCGTGCAGAACTTAACGTGTTCTAGCAACGGATACTCACCCACATTCGTGATGTACAGTGGCAGCCAGAAGAGGAAAGTATAGCTGACCAACTTGGCGAACAGCAGACACAGCGAGAACTCGATCACGCCCTGAAAGAGAGAGCGGTCGGGCGTCTCCTCCAAATGTGCCATCGGCAGGTGTGTAAACAGGTAACAGTTATACATGACTTAGCTCCCATGAAGAGAGCCTGTCTCTGGTCTGGCTTCAGCACCTCCAGACACATATGGGGGAGGGTGCTGCACCGCTGTGTGGTGTGGTGAGGACGCAGAACAGTGAAGCACTCAACCCAGCCCGGGCACCGGGTTGGGGGTGGCCACAGCGGCAGCTCCTCCACCAATGTGGCATTGGGGGCCGGCCCAGTGTGGCCAGATTTTCTGCTTTCAAGTGAAGACAGGAAGCCCTATTTATCTATGACATTTCTGAATTTCGAAATGCAGACTACCTTTTAGGATCAAAAGCCAGTGTGTTTACATCAGAGTAGAGTCAACAAAAACACGTAGGATTTGATTTTCATACTATGTCGCCTGGAAAACTTGCCTATTAAAGGAGTCCTCGTATATCCAGGCGCAGCGGACTGAGCATTTAATGGCTCTTTCTTCTCCCTTGGAGCTGAAACCATTGTAAATGATAAAGTCACCGGGAAACATACAGATCAAACAATTCCTACCATGCTGTCAGGCACATAGGCTACGCATCCCGCCTGTGAATACGACACACCAGTCCGCATCAGGGAAAACCAGGGTACGAGAAGAGGGTGTGTGAGTGATGCCATCGGGCGCTGGGTTCTGTAAAATGCCTGTGTCTTCTTTTATGTCAACTTTTAGAAAGAGGTGGCACTTGGGAGATGATAATTCCAGATGCCGCTGAAAATCCGGAGTGAGAAATCCAGTAACACTGTGGCGCTGAACCCCCCACTCCACTCCCCAGCTGCCTGTGCACATGAAAATTAATCAAAACGGTGGCTGGAAGTTTCCAGCACTCCACTTATGAAAGAGCTGATATCTTCACAGTTGGTGAGGCTGTGTCCGTGTGATTTACCGTATGCCTTTCACGGGCCTGGCACTGTGCTTGTCGTCATTAACTGATCTCACTTCATCTGCAGAACAACGTACCATCTCACACCAGAGATGGAGCCGTGTGACGGACGAGGACATGGAGGCTGAGGGTACGCCACACGTGGCCGGGACCCCCAGTGTGGTGGTGGCAGGGGAGGCGTGAGCCAGGCCTCGCCTCTGCAGCTCATACTGTCTACAACTCCACTGTATAAAAACGTGTATTTCTATAACAAGTGTGCACCCTGCTTTCAGCACAAGTATTTGGGGGGAGTTACAGAGGAAGGTACAGCAGAAAAGGGTACAGTTATTATGAAGGACACAATTAAGAGCAAATCTTTTTACTTGAACCCAGCAGCTCCCATAGGCCGGCATGCACAGCCCTTTCCCCGGGAGCTGGTGCCCAGGCCTGGGTTGGGCATTCTCCTTCGGCTGAACACTGGCTCCAGGCCCTGCCTCTGCAGACCCAGCTCCTCCTGGGCACTGGAATAATTTCTGTTCTGAAGCCGAGGTCTCCCCAGTCTCTAATTTCTGTGATGTAATTTTGAGGTTGCGGTTGCGCCACTTATGCTTCCAGCCCTGACCTGCTGAGGGGCCTCGGGCCTGGGCCCCTGATCCTCAGCCTTTCTCTAGGTCACGTCAGCAAGCGAGAGCTGTGTCTGCTCCCTGGTGCTCTGGCTGTGAGTGCCGGAGGGCGTGGCATGGACAGCCCACCCTGGACACCCCATCCGAGACAGCCTACCCGGCCCACACAGCAGGGTCTGATCTCCCCTGATTCTCTGCTGAGGGAGTCCATGAACGTAATGAAAGGAAAAGTGAAAGCAGCAAGAAATCTCTCCACAGCACCCCTCCCGCTCATCTGCTCCAAGTCACCGTTCCCCGATACTGATCACCCCTGAGGGGCACTGTGGCACCCTTCTAGTCTGAAGGCAAGGCCAGCAATACCACCAAGGACCAGCAGCCAAAGCAGCACGGTCTGGATTCCGAGGACCCGAAGGCTTCTCCCGCCTGTCTGCTCGTTCTTCCCTCGGTCTCTCCATCCCCCCTCAACTCCTGGCAAACTCTGCTCACACGCACGGACAATCAGACCAGGGGCTGTGGCACTGAAGGCACTTGTTTTTTTTTTGAGATGGAATGTCACTCTGTCACCCAGGCTGGAGCATAGTGGCATGAGCCTGGCTCATCGCAACCTCTGCCTCCCTGGCTCAAGTGATTCTCCTGCCTCAGCCTCTCGAGTAGCTGGGATTACAGGTGTGCACCACCATGCCTGGCTAATTTCTGTATATTTAGTAGAGACGGGGTTTCGCCCTGTTGGCCAGGCTGGTTTTGAACTCCTGACCTCAGGTGATCCGCCTTCTTCAGCCTCCCAAAGGGCTGGGATCACAGGCTGAGCTACCGTGCCCAGGCTGAAGACACTTTAAAGGGAAAGAGAATGGAGCCGGGCTGGTGAACGCTGGTATGGCATTCAGTGACAATGCCCCCCAGGCTCATGCTCAAGGCCTGCAGGAGGGCAAGTGCACCAGGGAGGGGCCAGGCCACAGGGGCCAGGTGGCATAGTGGTCAGGGCCCCAGGTCCCCAACCTCTGTCACATGGGGGGCAGGCCCAGGGTGCTAGGCTTTCTGTTTTTCAGGCGAGGGCAGGGAGCCCCATGTGTCTATGAACTTTCTGAATTTTTAAATGGAGAAGACAAATTTCAAAAAAATTCAAACATGGTATGAGGCAAACCAAACATCACTGCAGACATATTCATTCCTGAAGCTACCAGTGTGCAGCGTCTGGCTTCTGCTACGGATTCTAATCTCCTGGTTAGAAATCTCACAACCAGAGATTTCTTTTTTAAGTTAATCATCAACCGACCAGACTTCTTGCAGTTGGCACAGCAGCAGCCCCTCTGAAACTCCTCCTGCACATGTTTACTTACTGGGATTTTCAGGGCCCCTGTGAAGCTGATGGCAGCGGTGGCACTCCCGCTGTCCCCGGGGAGAATGACCATGTGGTTTGCATGGACGGAGCCCTTCCCGTCTGACAGCAGCAGGCACTGCATCTCTGGGTCCTGGAGGCAAATCCATTGGGAACAAAAGGAAAGGCGTTACTGGCTGGGCAGTCTGGGGGAAGTGGGACCAGGCTTCCCAATGATGAGGGTGCCTGGCGGCTCTCTCTCCCACTGCTTTGAAGACATCTGGTGACATTCCCACCTGGCCACTGCGTTAGAATGATTAGCATTCATGCATTTTCATGAACAGCTGGGTACACAGATCCTCTGATCCAGAAATTCTGGGACTCTTATATGCAAAAAATAACTCCAAAAGTGAAAAAAATACTTATAAAGTAAAATAGATGTCACATCATCATTGAGAAAAATTAGAAAATTAAAATACATCCATATGAATGACATATCTTGTTATAAAAAAAAGCTTGGGAGATTTTAATGACATATGAAAATGCTTATGACACATTAAATAACACATCATTCAAAACTGCACGCCATTATAATCTCAAAGAAGGTTTAAATATCTACATCTATAACTAGGCAACTGCAGGATCTGTTTCTAGAAAGAAAGAAGCTAAAATCTAAGCCAACAATGGTTGTCACCGAGTGGTAGAATTATGTATAATTTTAATGAAAATGCTAACAAGAAATCTTTACATGATCCTGTATTTTCTAGGAGTTCACAGTGGCCATATAAAACATTATTTTAAAATTTACTTTAAATTACACCGACATTATTTTAAAATACACCTATTCTGATAATTATGAATTCTGATATTCTAGACATTCCTGAAGGACAAAACACACACTCATTAAAGCAAAGAAGAGTGATCCCGAACCTAGAGTGGGGTTTCCAAGTCAGAGCAAGGATAACATAAAAATAATCCTAGCCTGGGCCATACAGTGAGACTGCATCTCTGGGGAAAAAAAAAAATTAGTTGAAGGTGGTGGTATGCACTTGTAGTCCTAGCTGCTCTGGAGGCTGAGGCAGGAGGATCACTGAAGCCCAGGAGGTTGAGGTTGCAGTGAACCATGACTGTGCTGCTGTATTTCAGCGTGGGCAATTGGGCAAGATCCTATCTTAAAAAAGAATTAAAATAAAATGAAAATGTTCTTCATTAATAAACTATGAAGTTCAAGGTCTTACAAAGAAATACGTCTATGGATCTCAGACCTTCCACAAAATCAAACAGGCTTTGTTGTATTTATCTCACTATAACCTGTTATAAGTTGGACTAAAAATGTAGTTCAATTAAAAAAAAAAGAAAAAGAGGTTGGGCGCGGTGGCTCATGCCTGTTATCCTAGCACCTTGGGAAGCTGAGGCAGTGGATCACCTGAGGTCAGGAGTTCGTGACCAGCCTGACCAACAAGGTGAAACCCCATCTCTACTAAAAATACAAAAATTAGCCAGGTGTGGTAGCAGGTGCCTGTAGTTCCAGCTACTTGGGAGACTGAGACAGGAGAATTGCTTGAACCTGGGAGGTGGAGGTTGCAGTGAGCCGAGATCGTGCCACTGCATTCCAGCCTGGGCAATGAAGCATGACTCTGTCTCAAAAAAAAAAAAAAAAAAAAGAAAATGGTAATGTATTTCACATTCCCCTGCCTCTTGATATTTAGAATTCTCTTCCAGTGGGAAACAGAAATTTGGAAACCGGGTGGCAGACTGTACTGTGTGCAGCCCAGTGTGGGTGCTGGGCACCCAGTGTGTGGTCTCGGGGGCAGCCCAGCAGCCATGTCCCCCAGGAAGCCCGGCTCACGGCTAGGACTCCGGCATGGAGAGCGGGCGTCTGATGACGATATCCACAGGCAGCCGCAGTCAGGTGCTCTGGAGTGAAGATGACAGGCCCGAGTGCAAATGCCTCACATCCTCCCGATAAGAATTCATTCTCGGCACGTGGAAGCAAAGAATGGCGATTTGAGTTTGGGAATCAACTTTTCTCTCTTAAATTGTGCTGATCGTCCAGTTTAGGAAACCAAGTCAGTCATGCTTTACTGTGGCTAAACACTGGAATCTCCTGGGGGGCTTTGAGGAGTCCCAAAGGCCCCCAGCCCTGCTGAAGCAGTCTCTGGGGCAGCCCCAGGCGAGTTCCACTCATAGCAAGCTGAGGGCTACGGGACTTCACAGCCTGTTATGCAGCAAACAGGCTAAGCAGTGGGTGAGATGCAGCCAGCTGGAGGAATGTCATGTGGAAAGAGTCCGCTTAGCCAGGAGAGGCGTACCCTCTGACCCAGAGAGAAGTGGCTGCAGGTCCACACGGAAGACCACCTGGCCTCAGGTAGACCCAGATGCCCAAGAGCCACCCATGGCCCTTCCAGGATTTGTAAAGTGCTCCGTGGTCCACTTGCTGGGCTGGTTTTAAGCCACAGACACAGACCCTCTGCTCCTTACCTAAGCCCCAAGAAGCCTCCTAGACAGAGACAGAAGGCTGTTTTTGCTGAGAACAGGCCCTATGCTTACACCTGCTCATCTCAAACAGGGCTTGCAGCCACGGAGTCCCAGTCGTTTGCTCCTGGAGATGGGAAAGAAAGTGTGAGGCCAAGAAGCCGGTTTTCCAAAACTAACGGGGGGCCGCTGCTGCCTCCTCCTTACATAGCAAACAAGAAGACACTGTGGGGACATGACGCAAGGCTGGAGGCCAAGGGGCACGTCTGCCTCCAAATAAGCTATTTCCAGTCTGTGTCCTCAGAGTCCCATATGGGATCTGTGCAGCTCCCGTGTGTCTGGGGGATTCTGCGGCCAGGGTACTCCACTCATGGCTTACGTTTTCAAAAAGAAAAGGGCTCCCTCTACGAAAACACACCCCTCCGCAAAATACAGGCAGATGCACATGGGCAGGGGTGTAATAACGACCGCTCTATCTAAAAATGCTAAGCTCACCCGCTACCTGATGCTATCTGCAGCTACCCTTTAGGAAAGGCCATCCCAGAGACATTTGTGGACTCCTGCTTGGCGTGCACAGTGCATGGTGGAGTAGCACTCAACCTTCAAATACCCACTCCATGCTCATGCCGTGTTTGGTGGGCCCAGCCAGTCAGAAGTATCCTCAGAGACATCAATATAATGAGACCCAGTTTTTTAAAGATCTGGATGTTTGTGACACATGTCACATAGGCAGAGGAACAGAGAGCTGATGTGGCTCAAAGGACTTTTCCTGCAGTTCCGATGTTCTAGGAAGTGGAAGTTGTGCGCGACTTACCAGAGGCCTGTTCTTTTCGCTCTTCAAGATTTGCTTCTGGAGTCTCAGTCTGTTTGTCCCATTCTCATAGGCTTTCGAGTGCTGGGAGAAAAAAGCTTCATGAGAGCAATACTGACTCAACAGCTACAATTAAACCTTACTTATTGTAGCAAGTACACTTACTAACTTCCCCAAAAAGCTACCAAGAGAACATAAGACAACGGATTTAAACAGAATAATGGTTGAGCTCAACACTCCAGACTCCCATATAACAGAATGTGAAAATAAAATCCTCTCTTGAAGAAAGAGCTAAGACAGAGGTGTAACCAAATGTAAAAATACCCATTAAGGCGACTTAACTTTTCTTAATGGCTTTGAGACTGTTTCAGTGTTTCCCTTTACAGCGAGGGACACCGGCCCTCCCTCAGTCAGCTCATTGCTTCTCAAGAAGAAAAACCCCTCTCTGCGGGAGGAGTGTGGTTTGCTCATCAGCCCAGATGATCATGCAGCTTTTGCCCTTTATCCATTCATATGGTGTATTACATTAACATTACCTGTTAAGCCAACTGTGTATTCCTGGGATAAATCCCATTTGATCATGGCACATAATCCTTTTGTAGGTGGCTAAGTTCAGGTTGCTGGTATTGAGTTTTGCATCTACACTCATAAAAGATACTGGTGTACCGCTTTCCTAAGCTGTCTTCCTTTGTTATTACAATAATACCTCATAGAATGAATTAGGAAGTTTCCCCCCCACTTTTATTTTTTGGAAGAGTTTGTGAGTAATCAGTATTAACTCTTCTTTCAATGTTTGGCAGAATTTACCAGCCAAGCCATCTGGTCCTGGGCTTTTCTTTGAGTGAAATTTTTAGATTAACAATTCAATTTCTTTACTTGTTTTAGATTTATTCAGATTTCCTATCTGTCAAGTCAGTTTTGGTAGTTTCTGTCCTATGAATGTTTCCATTTATTCTAAGTTTTCTAATTTGTTGGCATATAGTTGTTCATAGTATGTCCTCGTAATCCATTTTATTTTGGTGAAGGTGGCAACGTCAAGACCAGGAAAGGCCAGATCTTTCCTGGTCTTGACTTTGGTGACTTCAGTCCCCCTTTATTCCTGGTCAGTCTAGGTGCAGGACTACCAATTCTGTTTATCTTTCCAAAGAAACAACTTTCGGTTTGATTTTCTCTACTATTTTTCTATTCTTTGCCATTGGTTTTTAAGTGTGATAATGGTATGTTATGTTTCATACAAAAGTTTCCTTATATTTTGGAAACAAACACTGAAGTAGTCAGAGACAAAATATTAAGATGATTGGTATTTGCTTGCAAAATACATCAGCAGGAGGTAGGAAGGGACAGTATCAGAAGGGGCACTGATAGACTGGCCAACTGTTGGAAAGTTGGGTGATGGGTACATCAGTGTTCATTATACTGTTATTTTTACCTTCTTATATGTTTAACGTCTCCATAACAAAAACTTTAAAATATTGGAAACAATTAGAACTTTATCCTAAAAATGACACTTCCACATGGGAACTTCCCAGAACAAGTCAGCACATCTGAAATATCTTATGAATGCATTTTGCTTTGCCCCACAGCTCGCATTTGTGATAAAGGGAAGAGACCACAAAAGGACAGCAGCTGATGGGACATTGGCCAAACTGCCCTCAGCTCCCTCGGGAAGGCCTGTGACAAAAGTTTCATCAGTGTCCTGTACAGAGCGGGTAACGTTCCCGCAGGAAAAAGAACTTCGGGGCTGTTTGCAGAAGCTGATGAAATATCCCCAGGTATCAGCCATCTTTCCCTCTACGACCAGCCAACGTGAAGAGAAAAGAGGATGAGAAGCTGTTTCTCTGGACCACCTGCCCCACGGCATGCTGGGGACACCTGGGTACCGAGGGATCTGTGATCCCTCGGTGAGGAGAATGAAACATGGACTTCAGCCTTGAACTCATGCACGCAGAAGCAGAAGACACGCTCTCATATTCCTAAAAGCTGTGCGGGAGGAAAACCCGCGCCTCCCCCAAACTCCCTGTGTGCCGACTTCCTACCCTCAGGTCTGGCCGCCCTTGGGGGGAAAGCTCTTCTTAGAGAGCAGAACACGTCCCAGGGCGGAAGGTGTGTGCCAAAGTTCTCCCCAGTCTCGAGCTGGGCAGTCCAGGCAGCTCTAAGCGACTTCACAGCACGACTCTACAAGCTTGGGAACTGAAATTTATGCTCGTGACAGGAAAATGGCTTTTTAAAACACTTAAAAATATCAGCTACAGTTTTACAAATATCATGTGGTATTTGACCTTCCTGAAGGCACTGGTTTCCAAACTTCATTTTGTTTCTTTGTTTTTGTCATCAAGTATCAGAACCCCTCTTTCTGATGAATCACACCCAGAAGCCCAATGTATTAACAGACAGAAAGAGGACTCTGGCTCCCTCTCATGCACGAGGCCAGGTGGCGCTCCGGGCGAGGGGTTTGCCCCCTTCTGTGAGTGACAAGAGGTCGACCAGATCCACCAGCAAGGATTTCACATGGGGTGACATGGAGCCACTGGGCTGTGTCATGCAAGGCTGATGTGCTGCGTTTCGAGACCGTGTCTGCAAGTGAGGTATGAAGAGGTTCTGGGGAGCAAAAGTGGACTGTTCTAGGAAGCTGCTGAGCAGTGGCTCAGAGGAGAGCTGACTGATGGTGGTGACAGCGTTTCCATTCCACATCCCCTCACAGAGCAGAACCAACAGAACCTGGCCAAGGACAGGGGGCAGGGCTGAAGGGGGTGGGTGTCGGGCTAGCTCCTGGGATCTGGCCTGTCCATAGGGTGGACAGCAGCTTCCTGACTGAAATGGGGATGCTGGGGGATTGGCGTGTTTAGGGGCAAAATCAGGAGATCTCCTCTGGTCGTGTTAAGTCTGAAGGATACCCAGATAGTGCTGTGGGAAAGTCGAGTGGCAGTGAGATCCAGGATTGCAGAGCTCAGGGGAGGGGTCACTCTGGGGACAGCATGGGGACTGGACATCAACCCACCTGGGGGCACTGAAAGGCCCAGTGCGCTCTCTCGCAGTGAGCGGGTGGACAAGGAGAGAGGAGGCTGAGGAGCAGCCTGGGGGCACTCCCACCTCTGGGGTCTGACACTCAGCACAGGTGTGACTAGCATGTTAGCCCAGGGAGGGGACCCTGTCCCAGAGGGAGGGAAGCATCAAGTCAGATGCAGTGACAGGTCCAGCAGGGTAAGGCCAGAGAGCTGACCGCCCCATGTGGCCAGGTGACATTGCTGGGACCTGGATGGGCTGTTCCTGTGGGTGGCAGAGGCCTGCAGAGAGGAGGGGAGTCCCGCCAGTGGAGGTGGGAAGGGCGGCGGCTGGGAGTAGGCATGGGGGCCAGAGGGACTTTCTCCCAAGACAGCGATCAATACTATACATGTGTGCCAGGAATGGTATTGGGGGTGGATGTGTCTGCAGGAGCCAAGCCCTGGGCCATGTGAGGGGAGGGGACCGGTGCCATGGGAGGGCTGGCCTCAGGCAGCTGGCAAAGTGGCCGATGTTGACTGTGGGCGGGCGGAGGTGGCTAGGGTAGTGCTCACTTACAGCAGCCAACGTGGTCAGCAATCCTGCCTGCAGGGCCTGTGCTGGGCAGGGGTACAGAAGAGAAGGAAGGGTGTGCTGGGCAGACCTCCTGGCCAGCTGAGATGTGCAGCCGCCAACTTAAGTGATGGCAGCCAGCTCCCATGTGGCACTGAGGCCCTGGGGCCACCGGGAGGCACCACTCCTGGGGAGGCCAGGCCGAGATCCAGCCTTTGGTTCCCCTAGCATGAAGTCCTTAATCTGGACAGCATCAAATCTCTTCTGGGTTTTGTTGATAAGGTTATCAGCAAAACCCAGAATAGGATATTATCTGTTCCTAGAACAGGCAGTTTTTTGAGGGTGGGACTTGTGTCCACACTGTGTTTCTGTTTGACACTGTACGGGCAGGAGCAGGCTGGGGAAGTGGTCAGATCACTTTGCGAAATGCACACTGTTCTAGAAGGGGACAAGGAAACGGTCCTTACCGTCACCAGGGTGGAGGAGCACCTGACGTCCTTCGGATCTGAAAGAGCAAACATGAGTCCAGGGCTGAGCACGTCCACCACCACGGCAATGCCACGTAAGCTACACCACCCCAGGGCAGGGCACACGGGAGCACCAGCGGTGAAACTGACCATATGCCAAATTGACAATAAGTGAGTGGATCTGAGCTGCTCTTGCCACTAAAAGTAAAGCCGGGCAGCTGTGAGTCGCGACGGCTATGCTAACTGGCTTCGCTCTGCTAGGGACCTTTTTACTGTCTGTATGTATCTGTAACACCATGTTGCATATCTTTAATACACGCAATAAAATTTATTTAATAAAACACAAAATGCCATTATACCTTTACTAAATTGGCATTCATTCCAGAAAAAAGCCATCGCCATAGCATGCCGGGTAAGGGCAAGGACACAGCGTGGCTGGCCCAGCAGTGACCCACACACATGCCCCTGCCTGTCCCCAGCCACCCTGCCTGGCGGCCAACATATGTGGAAGGGGTACGGCAGATCACTGCCAGCCAATGCCAACGTGGTGAACATGAACACTACTTTAAACACGGAAAATAGTTCCCAGTGTGGCCGATAACAACCAGCAGAACAGGCGGACGCTGTGCAGACAAGCCCGTGAGTCACATTCAGAGGACAGGCCCCAGAAGGAAAACAAAGCCAGGAAAAGCACATCAGGGGAGCAAGGCGGGAATAATGTCTGTACTGAAGTGTTTGTACATTTGTTGTTGTGAAATTCATTGGGAATAAAAATGAGTGGAGGTAAAACATCCATCTTGATACGGAAGAAACATCTTTATGCAAACGCAAGGAAGGGAGGAAACTTGCAAAGGGACAGAACCAGGAGTGAGGCTTCAGCTTGTCCTTTAAAGATGCCAGTGACCTGCCCCAAGCAACATGGGAACCCAGCGTCAGCCCCAGGCTTCGAGGTGCTATGGGAAACCAGCCTGGCTGCTTCTCCAGGATCTATTTCTGTAGCCCCCTCTGACTACCCAGAATCTTGGTCTTTTTATAACCCTGGATGAAACTGGTTATTGCTTTGCAATCCAAACTGAGCTACAGGGCTACAGGCTTCCCATGGCCGAGTCCATTCCTGCACGACCCAGGGTGACACCCTGGAGGGGCATGCAGCCACTGAACATGCTCCTGCTGGCCTGGAGGCCCCGCCTACGCCATAGGGCCAGGTGGGTCTGCACCGAGAGCTCTGAGGCTGGCTGTGGGGTGCACTGCCCTCCTCTCCTGGGCACAGCCCAAGGGCGAGGCCATTGACAAGGGACACATGGTCAGCATGCTGGGCAGTCCCAATGGTCCACCTGTGATGTGCAGTTGCCAGTTTAAAGGACATCAGCCATTTCATCCCCTCTGTATCCACTCAGTGATGCCCCCCCCAGAGGCAAGCAAGGGGATCCCCCTAATATGGCTCTTCCTGGACTTTTACCTTGTGGGACTTGAGCACACATGTCCCTTGGCTGGGACACATCTGAGAACAGCTTCACAAAGTAGACTCAGAGAGGCCTGAGAAGCGAGCAGCGGACACCCTGGCCTCTGGTCCCCACCCTGGGCAGGAGACAGAAGTGAAGGAGCAGCAGAGAAAGCCCCATCCCCTGTTGGTCACAGGAATGGTGCATCTGACGCCTTCAGCACCTGCCCAGGCAGTGATTTGGGACAAGGACAGGCAGAAACAAACCAAGGAGCACTCGATCTTTCCTCCCTATCTGCAAAGAGCTCCTGTTCTCAGACTCAGCGTCTAGCCATTGCTGTCGCAGCTGGGTCTCATCATTCAGATGCGGTGCAACTCCCAGGCACAAGGGGAGAGTGTTGGGCCGAGTCCCTGGGCAGGAGGCTCTGGGGGTTCTCTTCTGTTTGGCTACAGATGAAGCATGCAGTCCTCCTATAGGTGAGCCTGCCCGTGGCCAAGGAGGACCCAGGGACAGGGGACATCTAGATCATTGCTATCTGCCCAAATTGGATCAGGGAGGCTTATTCACAAGAGCCAAGCTCTCTCTGCTTACAGAGACAAGCATCCACACGGGGCCCTGAATGCCAGGACGTGGTGCTGAGGTCACCCACCGTGGCCAGTGAGCAAGCTCCTTCCCTTCCACATGTCCTCTTCTCTCCAGAGCCAAGCCCTTTTCCAGCTGAGGAAGAGAATAAAAGGCCCTGGGGACTCTACCCTCAGGCGGGAGACACCCAGGGACCCCTGCGTGCTAACAGAGAGGCACATTGTTCTCCTGGTGGCTGGTGTCTCAAATACCTGGAGAGCAGGGGCACGGAACTCCGGGTTCTAGGAACCAGAGTGGAGGAAAACAGGTGGTGGGAACGGCCTTTCCCAGAACTGCAGTGCCACACCAGCCAGAGCTGAAAGCCACCTGTTGGCCTACTGGTAAGGGAGCTAGAGCCCTGCCCGTCTGGCCAGGTCCCTGCTGGGGCTGTCCAGGGTGCTGCTGAAGGCAGAAGAGGGGAAATGGGAGGTGAGTGCAGCCTGGGACCCCCACTTTCTGCTTACACAGATGGGTGTGTTTGGGCATTCCTCATCTGAATGTTTATTTCCATTTTTACCAACACAGAAGAGTGGGCTGAGAGTCTCAGAACTCATAGGGAGGCTAGATGATGGCCATCTTCAAAATTAAAAAGTCAGCTTTTGCAAGACAGAAAAAGTGAGCAACTAAATGGAATATGCGTTGACTTCTGCACGCAGAGCTGAAGTGATAAGCAATGCCCAGTGCGGCTGGAGGGAGCTGGCTCTGAGTGTCCCTTACCTGGGAGGGAGCTGGAGAGAGCTCTCTGTTGCCTTGTGGTTTCATTGTGCTTTAAACTCGATCAAAGAACTAAGTGTTGAGTACAACTTATCAGAATGGGCTGTGGGATTCGAGTCCCTGCCGTGTGACTGCTGGGGCCACCTGAGCCTCCCTAACCTTGCTGTAACTGTCCTGAATCCTCTTAGCACCAGAGCCTGCGGAATCTACTTCAGAAACTAATTTCAAATTCAATTAAATCAAAAGTTTGCCATTGAATCTGAAATGGAATAAAGGATTTGATTTTCCAAGAGATACTTTTTTACCCAACTAAATCTTTTATTAATTTATTTATTTATGAAGTTTCGCTCTTGTTGCCCAGGCTGGAGTGCAGTTGTGTGATCTTGGCTCACTGCAACCTCTGCCTCCCAGGTTCAAGTGATTCTCCTGCCTCAGCCGCCTAAGTAGCTGGAATAACAGGCATGCGCCACCACATCTGGCTAATTTTTTATATTTTTAGTAGAGACAGCGTTTCTCCATGTTGGTCAGGCTGGTCTTGAACTCCCGACCTCAGGTGATTCACCCGCCTTGGCCTCCTAAAGTGCTGGGATTACAGGCGTGAACCACTGTACCCGGCCTAAGTCTTTTATAACATTGTCCAAGATATATCTTATCAGAAGGCAAATAGCTGACTTGGTACATTTCAGGTTGTGGTGGTGAGACGGGTGTGAGAAGAACAGCCCCGTGGGAAGATGTAAGATTCCCAGGCACAAACGCATCATGCTGGAGCAAGTGGGGGGGGAGGGGGATGGGAGGAGGGAATGTGGGCACAGGTCACTCCAGAAATCAGCGGAGAGTAGAAAATCCAGGAAGACCGGGAGAGAACCAGCTCCCGGGGAAGTCCGCATGCAAACAAGGAAGCCTCCCTGGCAAGAAGAGTATGGAGGAAGCCACGGGCAAACAGGGCACTAGGCCATGCCACTCTCACGCTCGCCCCCAAGGCCTCCCTCGGTGGGTGGTCTCCAAGGCCACGTGAACTTACGTTCAATGAGGAAGAGAAAGCACACTATCCCCATGGCTGCCACGATGGCCCCGGGCACGACGAAGGACAGCCCCCAACACGTAGACACCCAGTAGCCAGCGATCAATGAGCCCAAGATGTTGCCCACGGAGGTGTGGGAGTTCCAGACGCCCATGATCAAACCTCTCCTGCAACACAACAGAACGCGGGACAGAAGATGGGGTGAGAAGCTGAGATGAGACCCCCATGTCGGGCACAGTAGTGTCTGCCAAGGAGGGGGTCAGCGTAGATTCACAAGGACCACGGAGACACCGCCTTTGTGGGATGCAGGACTCGAGATGCCCCCAAGAGAGCTGGATGGATGTGTGTGCTCCCTGGCTGTGCCATCACACACGCCACTTCTCTAGAGAGCTGGATGGGTGTGTGTGCTCCCAGCTGTGCCATCACACGTGCTACTTCTCTAGAGAGCTGGATGGGTGTGTGTGCTCCCGGCTGTGCCATCACACGTGCCACCTCTCTAGAGAGCTGGATGGGTGTGTGTGCTCCCGGCTGTGCCATCACATGTGCCACCTCTCTAGAGAGCTGGATGGATGTGTGTGCTCCCGGCTG